GGTCGGATCGGGCCTAATTTTGGGCCAATGTCACTCATATATAAAACATTATATATCTATAATATTTTATATTAAATGACATAACATTCATATAAACTTATTTTATGCATTATATAATATAAAACATTACGTATAATATAAATTATACATGTCATGTTATAATATTTATATATAAAATATATAATATAATGTAAAATAACATGTATACATATGTATACATTATACACAAAATGTGTAAGTTTAAACATATGCGGGCCGGGTTGGCCTAGGCCGAGCTTGAAGTATTAAGCCCAAGCCCGACCCTAAAATTTGCGGGTCTGATGTGAGCCCAGGCTCGGGCCGGGCCTGAACACAAATAATCACCCCTAGTCTAGGTCTAACACAAGTCATTGGCAAATTTTGAAGAATGCTCTTTTGTTCATGGCCACATGGCAAGCACAGATTAGACCATGCCATTGGACCTTATTAGTTTCCCTTCCCATCTACGTTGGAATATGTTAGGTATAAGGGATGGAAAAATATGTGTTCACTATAAAAGAGACAAAATTAATTGCTCATACATCAATTTCACATAAAAATTAATAGAGTATTTTTTTTTCATAGTTTCAAAATAAGACATTTAAAAGGTGGATTAATGTTTTTAAAATTATTCTAACAATGTTTTGGACTTTTAGTTGAAATTTACTAATAATGCCAAACATCTCTACCCTATTAAATTATCATTTTCAAATTTAAAATGAAATAAATAGACTATCCTAAATGTCTATTATAAATAATTAAAAAATGAAATAATTCAAATTAAATTGAATAATTACTTACTGAAAATTACTGAATTAAGTAAATAATAATAACAATCAATTATTTTTAGAAATAATAATAATAATAATAATAATAATCATTATCATCATCATCATCATCAAGTACTTAATTAAGTAAATAATAAAAAATGAAATAACAATTATCAATTATCATTAATGTTTATTCAAAGCATGCCCCATAATAAATAAGAATCAATATTTATTAAGAGTCATTAAAATTGTTAAGCCAAATCATTAATGTTTATTCTTAAATTCAAAATATGAAATAAAAAATCTATTATATAATAATTATAGTCGGTTGGAAAGAATATTTTAAGTAAATATTTAAATATTACAAATTTAGTTAATATTATTACTATATAACAAAAAATTAAATTAAATAATAAAATAAATTAATAATAAGGGAAATTTCCCGATAGGTACCCTGTACTTTAGGTCGAGTGCCAATTTAGTACCCGAACTTTAAAATGCGACAATCTAGCACTCAAACTTTCATTTTGCGACAATCTAGCACTCAAACTTTCATTTTGCGACAATCTAGTATCCGGTGTTAACCGGCCATTAAGTAGCATATAAAAAGACAAAAATACCCTTCAAATGTAAACTCCCAACCTAACTCCTGTGTAAACTCCTCAATACCGGAAATGAACCATAAAATTGAATGTTGACCGGAGTTGGATGCTGCAACTTGGGATTTTATCATAACAAGGGCAAAGAGAGCCCGATATTAAGTCGTAAGTTATTGCGTCTCTGCCACCGGAAGTGGGAGAAAAAGAGGGAGGTAGAAGAAACGATAGAGAAACCATCGCGGGTTCAGATCTGCCACCGGAAGTTGCAGCAGCGAATAGAAGTTAGGAATGTAGAACGGGTTCAGATCTGCCGCCGCTCTGCTTCTCTGTGGAGAAGATGAACAATATTTGAAAATGATGTTGTGAGCCTCAGTGCAGAACCGCAACAATTGCCAACGCTGTGACATGCCTCAGTGCAGCCATGGCGGCACAACTTGTTTGCACCCCGATGATGTCATGAGCCAAAGACTCATGGTTCAAAGCAGCAGCGACAGCAGTAGGGGGAAACGGTGTCTTTGAGGCGGTTGGGGGCAACGTAGGAGAGAAGAAGAAGAAGAAAATGAGTAAAGAAAAGAATGTCGCCACTGCTAGGAGTTGCAACGCCGGTTTGGCTGAAGTGACTGTAACAAGGGAAGAGGCGGTAGTCTGTGGAAAGGAGAGAAAAAAAATGAATGAGGAAGAGGATGGGAGAAGAGAAGCGGAGAGAAAGAGAGGAAATAAGAGAATGTGAGAGAGTTTGATGAGGTTGCTACCGCTACTCTGTGTTGGGAGCTCTATCACTGCCACTGTCTCAAGGAAGAAGATGAACAGTAAAATAGGAGATTCTCGTTGGGGGAGAGAGAAATCCAGGAACAGTTCATAAAAACTGCATTTGTGTTGACGTGGACAACTTTTGAGGATGAACATTGACGGTCCTGAACTAGTGAGCTTTGGAGACATGGGTTAAGAAGAAGAAAAGAGGAGGAGAGAAGGGGAAGAGATTGGACTGAGAGGGGTGCCAGCGCCGCTGCAATTCTGTTCGAACGAAGGGGAAGATGAATACTGGAAGAGAAAAGATTTCGACAGTTGTAGCTGCACGTTCCGATGGCGGTGAGGAGATTGGGTGAAGGTGGAGGGCAGAGGTATAAAGAATTTGCAGCGGAGCGGAGATACAGGCGATCGGGCACGTTAAGCACTCCAATATTGTAAGGTTAAGGGCTTAATACTAGGCTACTGATGAAAAGCTTTTTCGGTGGTGTTGTTGGGTGGAACCGGGCATGGCCGAAGCCATTGTTGTAAGCATTCTTCGGTGTGATGAAGAACATTTGTCTGGTGATGGATGGAGGCTTCAACTCCATCAAGAGATTTGGGTTCCCAGAACTTGATCTTCATTTTCTTGAGAAAAAAGATTATGAATAGTGTGTTTGGGCTCTGTTTCATTTTCTTGAGAAAGAAGATGATGAACAATGTCCAAGGATAGTTTTGACATTTTTAAAAGTCTTAAATCACACATGAGGTCACGTGATATACATAACTGATGGTTTATTAACGGTAGGTATTAGATTGTCACAAAATGAAAGTTTGGTTACTAGATTGTTGTGTTTTAAAGTTCGGGTACAAAATTGACACTTGACCAAAAGTATAAGATACCTATCGGGATTTTTCCCTAATAATAATAATAATAATAATTGTTAAATTAAAGTAATAAATGGTTCAAGTTGAATTTAGTGACCCGTATAATTTTGCTGGTTTGACATATAAGGATCAATTTATGTGGACTTGTAGACTGTATGAGTGTCTTAAAAAATGGTAGTTTATAAACAATAATAAAAAATGGTAATAAAAATCATTAATTTTTATTCATATATATTTATATATATATAATAAGTCATTCACTAGTTTACTAATAATGCCAAACATCTCTACCCTATTAAATTATCATTTTCAAATTTAAAATCAATTCAGACCTTAATTTTCTTTTTGGATGAAGAAGTTTAAACGCACATAATATATATATATATATATATATATATATATACCACACTAAAAAGAAGTGCATATATGCACTGTTTTCCCAGTGATCCTAGTTGACAAGAAAACAAGCAAGAGGGGTTGTGTGCAACCTGTATCTTTGCCTACTATAGACAAGAAAATGGGAATTTAAATGTCAGGTTAATTAAAAAACAAATGCCCATAAACCAAAAAATCTGTACAGCACTTGTTTTTTTTTTTTTTTCCTTTTCCCCACCATCTCAATTGCTTTTTAAAATAATCAACCAACTTCTTGACTAGTTACAATCATAAAATCATCTCATAAACAAACTAAACAGAATACTCAAATGCTAATGACTGTAGTTTATTTGTTTAAATATATAAAGAATGTAGTTTATATGTTATTGATATTCAGAAAGAGACACCACCTTCACGAGAGAGAGAAAGATGTGCTTCCTAGGATTCTTGAAAACAGTCTAAATTATAATATTATAATAGTTGATAAAGTATGGAAGCCCAAATCTAGATTTGTCGCCATTTAGATGCCCTACCATGGGTGGTCCACAATCCAGAACCAGTTCTTTTGGCCAACTCCATTAGTCCAACCAGTCCTATTTTCTGCTCTAATCTGAAGGTGTATTACAATCTAAATTTCGCTATATCAAACCCAAAGTAACAATTGAAAATAGATCAATCAAGCCTGGATTAGTAAAACGAACCCAATTGGGTCAGCCTTGCTCCCCACAAGTCATTAAGAATGCTGGTCGGTTCAGTATGGCCAATCTGATTTTCTTAACTTAAAAGTTCATTCCTATGCACACTTGAAGAAGTCAGTTGGTATGGCTCTTGGTACTCCTGTTCTTTCTTCCAGTTTGGAACTGGCCAAATTATTCATAAATTTCATAGAAAAGTTAGCAGATTTGTTAATGAAATATGGTAATTAACAGGTTGGAGTGGGTTAATTTTGAGAAATTACTATTTGATATATAATTTCTTAAAGCATCTTGCTCAACTCTAAAAAGAAATTAGGGCTTTTCTGTACTTTCTGTCACTTAAATACTGTTTTTTCTTACTTGAATACGGGTTCATGACAACCAACCAGACCACTCCTCCCCTAAAATAAATAAATAAACGGACAAGTACGATACATACGATGCAGAATTCTGAATTCCAGCCCTCCTTACTACTAGCCCTCTGCCCGTGAATTTGGCATAAATAAATAGATAAAACCCAAAGAATAAGACAAGAAAACTGGGAATGACCTACCAACTGAAATGTTCAGACCAATGACAGCAAGGGTGTACAGAGAATATTCTCAATTCTCATTAATTACCAGCATTTTCTGTTCACACCCATTTGATCACACTCAAATTAACGTTTCTATTGCTCTATTAATTATATATGCTATATGGAGGGAGATGTCCATCATCTATAATTTGCCATGCATGTATTCTCTCTCTCTCATGCCCCATGCCCACATAAGAATGGGAAATAATGATGGACATAAAATAAAATATCCATCTATATGGAAGACAGATGCATAAGAGGCCCATCATTTTATAGACAATGGATTACAGTCTGTTAGCAAATGACCCACACTCAACACATTCCCCCACCATATAGCTCTCCCATCATCATATATAAACACTCTTAACACACACACACTCTCTCGCATCCATCAAAAAATCATTTCAGCATCTCTTTCTCCCCTCAAGCCATGAGGCCTCCCCTTTTTCTCTCCTCCCTCCTACTAATAACCATCCTCTGCATCTACCCTTCCCAAGGGTCCGTCCACAAATGTGACTTACCTGACCATGGCTCCACCCTCCAAATCATGCACATCTACAGCCCATGCTCCCCTTTCCGGCCCTCGAGACAGCTCTCATGGGAACAGACTGTGCTCGACATGGCCGCAAAGGATGAAGCTAGGCTTCAATATCTGTCCAGCCTCGTTGCCAAGAGGTCCATCGTGCCAATAGCTTCCGGTAGGCAGCTCCTTCAGACTCCTACCTACATTGTCAGGGCTAAACTTGGCACACCAGCTCAGACACTGCTTATGGCCATGGACACTAGCAGTGACGCCGCGTGGATACCCTGCAGTGGGTGCGTTGGCTGCTCCTCTAATGTCTTCGTAGCAAACTTGTCTACCACTTACAAGACTGTTGGCTGTCAATCTCCTCAGTGCAAGCAGGTGCCCAACCCAACCTGCGCCGGTACGGCTTGCTCCTTCAACCTCACATACGGCTCATCCACCATCGCTGCCACTGTCTCACAAGACACATTGACACTTGCCACCGACCCAGTCCCCGACTACTCCTTCGGCTGCCTCTCGAGCGTCATTGGAAGCTCGGCGCCACCCCAAGGCCTCCTTGGCCTCGGCCGAGGCCCCTTGTCCCTACTCTCTCAAACCCAAGACCTATACCAGTCCACCTTCTCCTACTGCCTACCTAGCTTCAAATCCCTCAACTTCTCAGGATCGTTAAGACTGGGCCCAGTGGCTCAACCAAAGAGAATTAAGACCACCCCTCTCCTAAGAAACCCACGAAGGTCCTCCCTCTACTACGTCAACATGATCGGCATTAGCGTCGGACGCAAGTTCCTGGACATCCCCCCAAGCGCGTTGGCCTACAACGAGGCAACCGGAGCGGGAACCATCTTCGACTCAGGCACGGTCTTCACAAGGCTAGTAGCGCCGGCCTACACAGCACTACGAGACGAGTTCAGGAGACGAATCAAGGGTGCAAACGTGACGTCTCTGGGTGGGTTTGATACGTGCTACACGGTGCCCATCGTCGCACCGGCGATAACGTTCCACTTCACGGGGATGAACGTGACGTTGCCTCTGGACAACATGTTGATACACAGCACGGCAGGGAGCATCACGTGTTTAGCCATGGCAGCTGCACCGGACAATGTCAACTCTGTACTGAACGTGATTGCGAACATGCAGCAGCAGAACCATCGGTTGCTTATCGATGTGCCAAATTCGAGGTTGGGTATCGCCCGTGAGCTCTGTACCTGAAAAGGGTCAGGCGGTGTTTTTGAGGTGCGTCGGTGGTGGTGGAGGTTCTGTTGTTGTTTTCTTGCCTTTTTTTTCTTTCACTTTTTCCTATCTATATCTGTTTGTCCTGTGCTTGGGTGGAGATAAATTATCACAATCTTTGGAGGGTTGTGGGGGGTTCCTAGTCTATTTTGAACACGACTTCGATTAATTAATTGAAGTGTATGTACCTTATTTGTACTAGCCATATCACGGATTAGCTGCAAGTTTTTCTCTAATACTCTCTCTCTCTCCAGAATAATGAGTTAGAGAAAGAGTCTTTGCTTATTAGTAGAAAAACATGTGTTTTGATGGGTCTTACTTAAGAGTGTCTATGGATTAATGGAGTTGGAAATGGAGTTGTCCCTATAGATTTTCAAATTTCAGACAAGCTAGGATGGGTTTTCATAGAAAAATGAAATTTGGGTATCAGTGGAAAGATTTCATAGTAGGGCAGAATCCAGTTATGAGCAGGAGCAGATTCAAAAACCAAAATACAAGTAATACAAAAATCAGGTTGTATCACAGAGCCGTATGAATATAATTTTTTTCTTCGTTACAAAATGAATCTTGAAATTAAGTTAATGTCCCATGAGTGTCAATGGTCTGACAGTCAGATGAATGGGACCAACCAGTTGAGAACTTGATCAGATGACTAGCTCTCAATTAGGGACTATTTGAAACGGCTGGAGAGGCTGAATTGAATGACTTATTGCCTTTTAGTGGATAACTTATTAAGCATAGCTAGGTTATGAGCTCATTAATGACTGAATGATGTATCAGATCGATTACTATAATTATATTTATAAATATTTTATTAATATGATAGTTTCGTTCACTATAAGACTATTAAGACACAAGTCATTTCAGTCAGTGACTTCAGTCACCTCACCTTAATTAAGAGGCAGAGCTTAATTTATTTCCAACTCTAATCCAAATACAATTAATCTTGAAGTTAGAGGCTAGAGCCTGAGCTGGTCCGATGAGATTTTAACCAGTAAACTTTAATTTAAGCTGCTGCCTTTTTGTTTTTCTGTTTCTACAGTACTTCTCCAGTTCCGTATTCTACTTTACTTCTGTAGTTCTTTTTAGGATTCCAACAGAACTTTTTCACTTCAATGGTGAAGGTGAACCCAGAGCCTTATGCAATGTGACGTATGGGAAGGGTACAAACCACAGAGGTCGCAGTTGTCGCCTAACCCAAGAAACGTCATTAATTTTGAAACAAACAATTGTATCTGTTATCCATTGAAACAGGACGTCTACTTTAGTACAGCCATACAGGCAGGAGTGCAGGACAAGAATTCATGAATCGTTGATCATCATCTAGGTAGACAAGGACCCAATGCGCCCTTAGTTGGAACCCTACTATGTAACATCTCCATCAAATAGACTGTGGACACGCTCCGTGTAGATATTAGAGTTCTTAGTCATCGCTAGCTAGCTACCAAAGCACGCTTACTGATCATGGAAACATACAGTTTTTGATCATTTGCTAGGGTGTGCTGAACTTTGGACCACCTGGCCTGGGTATGCATGTATGGTAACCGAACTGGACCGGAAGGTCGGACTGGTTGACCCAGGAACTATAGTTACGGCTCCAGATCCGGTTTTGAACCCCAAAACCATATCTAACTGGGGTTTGGACCGGATGGTCAGACCATTTGACCCAGGAATAGTGGCTGTTGTAGGTGCATGTGGCCCTGGCAATAACCGGCATGTGTTAGGTGGTGGCATTCAGAGCGGACTCAATTAGGGCGCACGTAGAACAAAGCCCGGTAGGTTCTCCGAAACCAATAGCGCAGAGTCACCTGGCGACCTCGAATGACCACGCTCCCCGCGTACGGACTGCATCCAAGCCGTCCGAGATCACCTACCTCCAAGCGGCCTCAAATATAAATAGGAGCCAACCTCATTAAGGTAAGGGATTGGAACTCAGACTCAAGAACAAGAACTTGAGAACATTTAGCTCCCTTCGTGACCTTGTTTGAGTACTCGCACCTCATACCTCATCCACTTCGCACCTCCCCCGTACTAACTTGACCGTCGGAGTCTTCGCCTCGGGTACCAACTTGGGGTCTCTGATGTCCTCCTACTTTCACTCCGTGTAGGATCGACATACCAGTCCTTGGCTCCTTGAGATCTCGGACTCCTCCACCGCTCCTCGGCACCTCGGCTTGGGAGTAAATTGACTGTGCTGCCCTCAACCCATTTTGACCGGCAACAATTGGTGCCGTCTGTGAGAACCGTCACTAAGACTTCCCTCAATTAAACTCCTATAAATCTAAGAGAATCAACTCCTAAGCCTAAACTATAGCCGACATGGCAAGAAACACCAGGAATGCTCAGAACCTAGTCACGATGGACCAATTTCAAGTGGCCCTTGAACGTTTCGATAACCTCGCACAAAGGCTAGACAATGTGGGGCGCTCAGCAGGAGGCCGCCCTCAAGGTGGCCGCCCCGCCCGAAGCCTGGGGCACCATGGCGAGTGTGCGTCTCCGGATCCCTTAGCCATCGGCCCAGTCAGGTCCAACAGGGCCGACCCCTCAGAGTCCACTAGTAGCTGGCACGCTAGTCAAGCGAGCGGTCAGGCCATCACAGCCCCCTCTCGAGGGCAAAGGGTCGCCGATGCCACGCCTCTCCCTCACACGTCTCGGACCTCTCCGAGACCTCCTGAATGACAAGCGGGTCAGAAGGAATGGACACGAGCCCACATTAGAGTATTCAGGGGTTTGGGCCAACCCCCGCCGAGTCCGAGAGGACCAGGACGGGGCACAGGCCCCCCTCAACCAATGAGTTGTCGACCTCCAAGCATAGCTCGAAGCCGTCAAGGACGAGCTCCGCCAAGTCAAAGAGAGCCGAACAGAGGCCTTAGCTATCCAGAGCCATCCGTCTGGGAGGATGGATGCCTTCACCTTGGACATCATTCTCGAGTCTCTCCCCTCGCACTTCAAGGCACCAGCTAGAGATGTATGATGGGACCACCGACTCGGATGACCACTTGGAGAGTTTCAAGGCGCTCATGCTCCTTTATAGATACTCCAATGCCCTGACGTGTCGGACTTTCTAGGCAACGTTCAAAGGGGCAGCCTACCAATGGTTCTTCGGGCTCCCTCCTCGCTTCGTCGGTTTGTGGGAGCAATTTTCCAACCTCTTCCTCGCTCACTTCATCAACAGCAAGCGATGCTAGAAGAGCGTCATTTCCTTGATGGTCATCCAACAGAAGCGCGGCGAGAGTCTGCGGTCCTACATTGACCGCTTCAAGAAAGAAGAGATCGAGGTCTGAGACCTTGACTCCATGGTCTCCATGCATGCTTCCATTAACGGCCTCCTACCCGGCTCGGCCCTCAAGTGCTTGGTAGCCAAGACCCCTCCGAAGTCCAAGGTGAAATTTCTGAAGAAGGCTCAAAAGTACATCGTCACCGAGGAGGCCTCAGTCGACGATCGTCAGGAAGGAGAGGCCGGCCGCCACCACAGAGGCCTAGAGAAGAAGAGAAGGAATGGAGACAACCGCAATAGTGGTAGCAACAACAACAAGGACATCAAGAAACCACCAGCCTCGGCCCTGGCTTACAACCAATATACGCCACTCAACTCCACTCGGACGCAAATCCTAATGCAGATTGGGAAGGAGGAGTACATGAAGTGGCCGGAGAAGATAAAGAGGAACTCCAAGAGGGGGAAGCCAAAGAAATACTACAAGTACCACCGCGGCACCGGCCATGACACTGTGAACTACTATGAGTTGAAAAACAAAATAGAGTCCCTCATCCGCCGCGACCACCTTAAGAAGTATGTTGGAGGCGAGGCCAGGGCCTCTTCCTTGCAGCAATAGCAGCAATAGCACCAACAATTAGCTGGCGTCATAGACATCATTGCCAGGGCACGGCCTCAGGTGGAGCCTCGGCCTTGGCCTGCAAGACCTACGCCAAACATCCAATGACCGGCTCCCAAGAAGCCGAAGCAAGAATCCTTGCATTCACAGATGAGGACTTGAAGGGGATCTCAGTCCCCCATGATGACGCGCTCATGATTTTGGTCGTCATAGCAAATTTTATGGTGAAGAGGATTCTGGTAGACAGCGGCTCTTCGGTCGACATCCTCTTCCACGACGCATATGAAAAGATGAAACTGGCGCTCAAGTGCCTTTAGCTCGCCGGCGTGCCACTCGTCGGCTTCTCCAGCAACGTGGTCAGACCGAAAGGAAGAATCACCCTACCCGTCACGGTAGGGACAGAACCTCAACAGGTGACAATAATGAATGAGTTCTTGGTTGTGAGGATCGGCTCCCCCTACAACGCCATCATTGGGAGGCCGACCCTCCATGCACTGAAGGCAGCCATCTCCTCCTACCACCTCGCCCTCAAATTCCCTACCGAACAAGGCGTCAGAGTCATTCGAGGGGATCAGCAAGTCGCTTGCCAGTGTTACGTGGCAACACTGAAGGCTAAGAATAAGGAAGCCCTGCCACTGAAGGGCCTCGACCTCAGGGAGGAACTAGCGAGCCAAGGCCAGCTAGCCAAGGACCTTGTCTCGGTTCCCCTAGACGAGGCCAAGCTCGAAAAGATTATCCGTATCGGGTCCAATCTTCCCCCAAAGAGTTTGTCCGAGCTGATAAATTTCCTCAGAACTAATGCCGACGTCTTTACTTGGTCTGCCGCTAACATGCCCGGAATTGACCCTTCAGTCATTACTAACAGGYTGAGCATGGACCCGAGCTCTAGGCCAGTTCGGCAAAAAAAGAGGAACTTTGCATCTAAGCAATGGAAGGCTATAGGAGAGGAAGTTGACAAGATTCTAGACGTCAGCTTCATTCGAGAGGTACACTACCCTAATTGGTTGTCAAATGTGATTATGGTAAAGAAAGCTAATGGGAAATGGAGAATCTATATTGACTTCACAGACCTCAACCGAGCTTGCCCCAAAGACAGTTTTCCTTTGCCAAGGATAGATGATAAATCTATATTTTAATGCCTTAAGGGCATCATTTCAGGGGTATTTTAGGCCTTAGAATAGTCAAAATGTGCTCTTTTCCTAGTTAAATTCAATATTGTGACCTTTGAGGGTCCTTGTGCAAATCTTGGGGAAAACTGGGGAAGTTTCAGGCCTAAATGCAGTTTTTTGGAAGTTGGTGTGAATTCCAGCTGAGAGAGGGGGTGTTTCTGTGAAAAACTAAGCACAGATGGGCGCCCCTCCTACTATATTAGCATACTCCCCTCTCCTTAGCAAACCCTAGGGCGCCTCCCCACTCATTCTTTTCACCTCTAACAAACCCTAGCCGCCCTAGGCTATCAAATCTCCACCCTCCACTCTCTCCTAACCTCT